GAGGTCAACGGGGGGTGAGCCAGGCTGAAGACGTGTGTCCCGAGCCTGGGCACGAGGGAGGGCGAGGAGAAGTGGACAGTCAGGCGGGTGGGCCTGCCTCTAGACAGGGCAGGGCAGGGTTGTTGGAGTATTCCTAATTCCTTCAGCGAATACTTATTAAGGCGTAAATAAGACAGGCAAGGTCCCTGTTCTTCAGCAGCGTACTTCTCGGTGCCGGGAGAGGGGGGAATGCGGCCTCAGCCAATGAGCCACCAAATGAACAAGATCATTCCCGATCACGATGAGTGACAGGAAGGGAAGCAAACGGGCAAATGTGGCAGGGATGGGGAGAAGCCGTGTCAGAGGGGAGGTCGGTGTGGCTGCCGTCCACACTGCTCCCTACCCCTGCGTCTCGGTTCCGGTCTGGAGGACGGACAGCATGTGGAGGCGGGGCTCAGGAGTTGAACACATGGTTGCCCTGGCTCGCAGCAGGCTGGAGGTTCAGTCTCCAGCTGGCAGCCTCGTGTCCAGTTAGCGTTTAGGGAGAAGGGGTGTCTGCTTCTGAAGGAAGAAGGGGGCTGAGTGGCCACAACTGCTTCTTGACCCTGCCCTGGCGTCTGGCCGTCACACCCACAGCGGCCAGCTCCTCGCAGCCCATCCACATGGTCTACGTGCCCTCCCACCTCTACCACATGCTTTTCGAGCTCTTCAAGGTGAGCAGGCCCGGCCGGCCCTTTGCCCCCTTCGCGGGCAGCACGGGCAGGGCTGGCTTCTCGCTCACCCCGGCCTCTCGCCCTCGCAGAATGCCATGCGGGCAACCGTGGAGAGTCACGAGTCCAGCCTAGTTCTCCCACCCATCAAGGTCATGGTGGCCTTGGGTGAAGAAGATCTGTCCATCAAAGTATGTGACCTTGGCCTTGGGGCCCCGGGAGCAGTGGGGCGGTGCCTTCCCGCCTGCCAGAATAGACTCTCATTTTCTCCCATCTGGAGGGTGGGCCATGAGATGGTTGGGGGCTCAGGGATGGGGCGGGTAGGAAAACGACCTCAGGAGAGCCCCCAACACACCCATCTCCTCCAGATGAGTGACCGAGGTGGGGGTGTCCCCTTGAGGAAGATCGAGCGACTCTTCAGCTACATGTACTCCACAGCACCCACGCCCCAGCCTGGCACTGGGGGGACCCCGCTGGTGAGATGGCTTCCCCCAGCCCCCACCTCCACAAGGATGCCCGTGTCTGTCTTCATCTCCCCCATCTCTCACTTCCTTTCTCCTGTGCTCACTCCCCTCTCACGTGGCTGTGCTCCTCCCATCTCTCCCTGCCTGCACTTCTACCTGAACATGGTGTCCACCTTTCCCCTTTCCTCCCTCTCCCCTCAAGGCCCCCTGTTGCTACCCATGCCCCACGTGGTATGTTCCAGCTTACCAATACTCCCGCTTCTGAGAGTTCGGGCAGTTGAGACCCAGGAGCCTGTGACCAGCCCAGACCTCCTGACTCCCTGAGCAGAACCCACCCCAGCTCCAGGAACTCACCCCTGCATAACCCCGGCTTAGCGCCCTTCACTCACTAGACAAGTCCCTGCAGCCCTGGGAGGCCCATGCAGCCTCCGAATCACCCCTGCCTTCCTCCTCCCTGCAGGCTGGCTTTGGTTACGGGCTCCCCATTTCCCGCCTCTACGCCAAGTATTTCCAAGGAGACCTGCAGCTTTTCTCCATGGAGGGCTTTGGGACCGATGCGGTCATCTATCTCAAGGTGAGGTCTCTGCCTGGGCACAACAGTGGGAGGGGCTGTGCAGACCGGGCTTGGGCTGGGCTGGCCTGCCATTCTGTCTCCTGTCCATCCCGCCTGTCCTTTCCTGGCTCCAGACTCTGAGACGTAGAGTGAAGCTGTGTGACCCCCAAGCCCCAGACCTGCACATGGCAAGGTGTCTCGGGGAGACTGCTGTTCTGGGGACCCTCGACTTGTTAGACTAGGAAGGAGGTGGGGACTGTAGAGGTCTTGTCATTCAGCTCAGAGACCAGGACTGAGGCCTAGGGTCGATGACCTTCCTCAAGGTCATAGTCCAGCCTTGTCCTTCATCTGCCTGGCTCTCTGAGGGAGCAGCATTCTCCAGTGGGCAGGAGCAGGACACAGAAGGCATGGACCCTTCCATGAGCTCTCCGGGCCCGGGGCAGTGGTCTCACCCAGGGTCTGACCCAGACCTAGGATGGATATGTGGGTTGGGGCCGGCACAGAGCCCCTGGGGGTAGATGGTCCAGAGGAGGGCAGGGCCAGGCTGACCCTGACACTCCGCAGGCCTTGTCCACGGACTCGGTGGAGCGCCTGCCTGTCTACAACAAGTCAGCCTGGCGCCACTACCAGACTATCCAGGAGGCCGGCGACTGGTGTGTGCCCAGCACAGAGCCCAAGAACACGTCCACGTACCGTGTCAGCTAGGGGCCCCACTCACCTGCTCCTGAGACGACGGACTGCTCTCTCTGGGTCCGGCCACCATGGTGACCCTCCCCATCCCCCGAGGGGGGGCAGGTTCTCCCTGATGACCTCATTCTTTACGGGAATCACTGCGATGACCGGTCTGTGGTGGTCCCTAAGTGCCAATCCGTCTTTGTGGAGACCTCTAGGTGGTCTCCAGGACGTCCAGTCTCTGTGGGCGATGCCTGAGGGTTGAGGATGTCTCTACCTGATGGGGCGTCCCAGAGACACTTTCCAATGGCAGTCCTCCTCTCCGAGACCAGGGCTGTCACTTTCCTGCCAGGGGCCCTGGGTCCCCCTAACCACCCTCCACAGCCTTCCATGTGGATGCCTGGCTTGCCTCATGCCCAACCCATAGACACCTTGGCCCTGGTCCACGGTCAGTATTAGCGACGGGCCTGGGGCCCCCCAGGCCTGGGGAGTGGGTGGGGGAAAGGGGTTACACCCTTAACCCCTGGTCAGAGACCTGGTCCTCTAGCTCCTCCCTCCACTCTGGGGTTTAAGGTCATGGTTGGGGGTTCTGACTTAGGACCCAGCTCTGCAGTGGAGGAGGCTGAGAAGACTGAGATGTGGCCCACGGCCCTGCAGGTGGCCATGGCAGTGTGTGTGCCACCTTGTGAGCCCTTCCCAGCATGTCCTCATGAGCACACAGCCACCGCCCACCCACACCCACTCAGCTCTGCCTGCACACCAGCCCCAGCCCCCACGCCTGGGCATACATGCCCGGGCGGCACCTCCCTGGACACTCTGTGTATATAGCTAGTTTTATAACCCCGAACGCCCTGCCCTTCCCCTTAGCACATAGGGGTTAGAGCTGTGTGCCCCTCCGGTGGCTGTGATGGTGACAATGGCATCCACAGTAAAGAGACAATGAGACTGCGGCCTGGCTGCATTCCTGGGGCGGGGACACGCATACATGCACGTGGCTGCGGTGCCCTGTGACTGACACCTGACACACTTGGGGGATCCAGCTCAGCTCGACTTGACCCCATGTGGCCCACCGGGGAAGAGCCAGGAGAAGCTGTCACTCACAATGCCTGACAGCCCAGCATGCTCGGGCACGGCCTGTCCCCCCACCCGACCAGTGCAGACAGAACGGTCACTGGCACATCGTAAGTGTTTATTGAAATAAACTGAGAACCGCCTCCCCCCTCACATGCAGGTGGGCACCACTGTAGCTCCTGACGGCTTCCAGGACGTGGTGCCTTCCAGGCTGCACACCAGCCTCTCCGCAGGCCCGGATGGTGCCGGGGTCCCTGTACCGCACATTCCCCCTGAAGCCCCCCTCCCAGCACAAACGGGGAAGGAAAGGGCTGAGTCCCAGGCACAGGGCCCTCGGCAGGACTGAGGGGTGTCTGCATGCACTGCGTCCTGCCCACTGCTCCAGGCAGGCGGGAGGAGGTGGAGGGGGCTTCTCAGCTGAAGCCCCCCACCCCCATCCCCGGCCCCGTGGGTATCCCTACCAGTGCCCCGAAGCCGGGCCACCTGCTGGCAGGCACTGTTTCCTGAAAAGGACCAAATGCCATCTCTAGCCGCTCAGATTCCACCCTCAGGGCCTGGCCCTACCTCCCTTGCAGCCCAGAGGCCAGAGCCTGGACCACCCGTCAGTTCCGGAGCCCACCTAGGCCCTGACCATGACCAGGACAGGTGGGTGAGGGCTGATGAGTCCTTCCAATCCAGCAGCTTTAGGGGACCCCCAGATTTTGCCTTTCTGCCTAGCTGGGGTAAGGATTCACCAGTCAGTACCACTGAGGCATTGGTGGTGGTGGTGGTGGTGGTGGTGGTGGTGAAGGGGTGTCTTCTGTGCTCCCACGGTTGCTCTGCCCAAGAGGGCCCGAGGCCCTCTGCTGGAGCAGGAGAAGTGGGTCCTGGCCGGCTTTGAATGGGCCCCAGGAGGGGCAGACCTGCGTGCGTGGGTGGATGTCAGCTCACCTATGGGAGCCCACAGGGCAGGAAAGGGCAAAAGGAGAAGGCAGTCCTTCTCCCAAGTCCTTGCAAAGATCGTGCTTATCCCATGCTGCCTACTCTGCTCTCCAGTGGAGGAGTCTGACTGGGAGTCGACCCTGAGAGTGACTTGCTGCGGTGCCCTCTGGCCTCCGTGGGGAGCAGAGTGGAGCTCTCACCAGGCAGCCACAGCCACAGCAGCGGCCCTGGGAGCTGGCCCTTCCTAGGCAGGGGACCTGACCTGAGGGCAGAGGGCCGGCCTGACTCAGGCTCCTCTGGGCTTCCAGACTCACTTCAGCCCTCCTCTGCTGCTTCCCTCACCTGCCACCTCCTCAGGGACTCTGCCCAGACGAGTCCTCTGCTCAGTTTGTCACTGGGCCCTCCTCTCCCTAGGGACTCCCTTTCTGCGGGCTCTGGGTCCAGACAGAGTGACGATGAGAGAGGGTGTGTGCCCTCCTGAGAGCGTGGGGCCAGGCCAGCTCAAGCTTGATGCCCAGGCCCAACCTCCCGGGTGTGGTGAGGCCTGTGGCCTCCGAGCCTGGCAGCCGCCCGGTGCCTAAGTGCCAGTGCCTGGGTGCCAGCGCCTGCCCCACCACCCCTAGCTCTTCTTGGCCTCCTGCTCCCGGCGCCGGAGCTTGTCCCGCTGCCGCGCAGCCTTCTCCTGCGCCTTGCGCTCCTTCTCCGCGGCTGCTGCCAGTTCCTTCAACTTCCGCTTCACTAGCGCCCGGTCATGCGAGTTGCTGAGCCCCAGGCTCTGGGGGAAGAACCGAGGGTGAGGGACCGAGTCCGGGCACCAGCCACGGCCCCTCCAGCATGGTCCCTTCCACTCCAGGTAGGCTCTCCGTGGAGCTGGGAGTTGTCCCTCAAGTGGTGCCTCTGCCTCCCTCCCTGGAGCTTGAACCCTTGGGGTGAGAACTGGGAATGGCAGTGGTGGGGTTCCTTGGTTCCTCTTCCCCAATCCTGAGCACCCATTCTTCCAATAGATTTCAGCCTTGAGGCCCAGAGATGGCAAGTGACGTGCCCAAGGTCACACATCTAGTCATGGCCGAGGCCCCTCCCCACTTCCAGGGACTTCCTGAGGGACTCATCAGGTGGCAGTCTTAGAGGGCAAGATCAGCCTGGAGCCAGGGCTCAAGCCTGAAGGTTAAACTGGAGTGTCAAGTAGGACTGTAGACCCATGGTAGAGCACAGACACTAAGCACTGGGCCTGGAGGTCAGAGGTCAGGCTGGTGGCCATGGAATAAGAGGGTCAGCCCAGGAGGCCAAAGGTCAGGTGAGGGGACCCCGATGCCTGAGGGCTGCCTCAAGCCCTTCCCAGCCCACCTTGAGCTTGCTTCCGTCCAGCTGCAGCAGCTGCGGCCCGTCCACCTGCCGCGCGGCAAACTCGGCGGCGTACTGTTCCAGGTTGAGGCTGCGTCGCCA